GCAGTGTGAGGGGAATGGAGTCCCAGTGCAGCACAAGGGGAAGCGAGTCCCGGTGCAGCACGAGGGGAATGGAGTCCCAGTGCAGTGCGAGAGGAATGGAGTCCCGGTGCAGCGCCAGGGGAGGTGAGTCCCTGTGAAGCGAGCCTTACCCTGGTGTGGCTGAGTGCCGGTGCGGAGAGGACTGGAGGTTTGGAGCAGAGTGGGACAGTTTTTGGGCTGGTGTCTGGCGCGGCTGGTCACACCACATGCTGAGCTGCCGCTATTTGAAACACTCTACCGAGCTGTAATGTCGACCCTTTAGCCATGTTATAACGGTCTTAGTTCTGGCTTATTTTTAGACGCTGTAAGTAATGCTACTAGTTTTCCTTTTATTCCTCTTTTGAGTCCAAGAGTTGTACCTAAGATGGTGCCATTAGAGACAGCCATTATATAAATTCTTCATTGTATTCCTGTGCTTCTGTACTGGAGGGCCCATGGCAATAAAGGATATTCCATTCTATTCTATTTGTTGCCCATCCCTAATCATATATGAACTCAATGCATTGCTGCACCTCCCATCTTTGAGATTTTAACAGGAAAAGACAGGATAGATAAAGATAATCTGTTTCCACTGGTTGGGGATTCTAGAACTAGGGGCATCGTCTGAGAATTAGGGCCAGACAGCTCAAGAGAAATGTTAGGAAGTGCTTCTATACACAGAGAATGGTTGGGGTTTGGAACTCTGAGGACACCGCCCAAAAGCTGATTGCTGAGGGTTAGTTGACAATGGCAATTCACAACTGAAGGAAAACACATGAAAAACAGGCTTAGCAAAAGTAAAACAAAAACAGAATTTGCTGGAAAAGCTCCGCAAGTCGGGCAGCATCTGTGGACAGAAATCGGAGTGACCCTTCCTCAGAACTGATTGACAGCTTCCACAGTTCTTTTGGCTTTTATTTAAGCTAAATGTCGCCAGTTTTGACTGGAAGGTAACTGCTATGACTTGGCTCGGGAACAGGCTGTTTTGCGGTGACACCTGGGCCTGTTATTTGCACAAGGAATGCTTGGGAAAATTACTCAGCAATGGCACTGCAGCACGTAATTTTCAATTCCGAATAGCATTAACACCGGGAACTTACCCAGCTCGTGAGACCAGCACTATGGGAACTCAGATAGAGCTCCAAGAGGTGCCTATTACTAGGAGTCCCTGATGGGCAACAGACAGTGAGACTCGCTTGTTGAATATGTCTCAAGTAATTTAAGCGAGTAGATTCAATCAAAACCGAAAGAACTGCGGATGCTGTAAATCAGGAACAAAAACAAAGTTGCTGGAAAAGCTCAGCAGGTCTGGCAGCATCTGTGAAGGAGAAAAACAGAATTAACGTTTCGGGTCCGGTGACCCTTCCTCAGAACTGGAATAGATTCAATCATTTAGTTTACCTCTCTCTAAAGTAAATTAAGCAATAAATTTCCTTTATATTGAAGCGACGTGTCTTCCTCGTATTCATTTTGATCAAGTTCAGAAGTCACACAACACCAGGTTATAGCCCACAACAAAATCAGAAGTTGCTGGAAAAGCTCAGCAGGTCTGGCAGCATCTGTGAAGAAAAAAATCAGAGTTAACGTTTCGGGACCGGTGACCCTTGTGATTTTAATTAAACCTGTTGGACTATAACCTGGTAAAAACTGAAAGAACTGCGGATGCTGTAAATCAGGAACAAAGATGGAAGTTGCTGGAAAAACTGGGTT